AGGGACACCAGACGGTACAAGCCGCAACGTCCGGGCCTCGATCACAGGGGGCAGACGGACGAGTCAGCGCACTGTCGTCCACTAACCAGATCAGGATGTCGTTCGCGGGCCAATCACATCTGCCGCAGCCAACTTCATCACCTCATTATACACTAGACTGGAGGTGCTCGACGCGATGGGGAAGACGGGTTTCGATGGCTGAAGGGGGACTGCCGATGCTCTTGGAGGCGCCGAGGGGTTTCGGGGACGCATAAGTTTCCGATGTAGGCATGAGCCAGGCCATTGTCCCGAGAGACTAATGTACAGGGCATGGAGGCTTCTTCTCTCAACTCGCGTAGTGCTCAGTTGGATTTGTGCTTTCCAGCGGCAGCATCGCCCGGAGAGCGTTACAGCCAGTGCTGCCATGGTGGGAGCATACGTTCTAGAGGAACCATTAGATCTTCCGTAGCCTGCACGTATGTCAGGAGTGGGTGCAACTTTCTTGACAAAAAACCCGCGCCTGTTCCTGATCAACCTGGGGCATGGCAAGATTATAGGAGCCGATCCGTGGTAGGGATCTCGAGACAAGAAATGCTCGTATTGCCAATTCTTCAACAACGCCGCCGCCACCAAAGTAAAGGTTAATTCCCCCGTCAGGAGATGTCTCAGGACTTCAATCACACCGGACTGGGTGTAGGGCCGGCCGTCCTCCGCGTACAGTTCCTGCCGGGCTTTATAAGACGTGACGGTCCCCGAGTTCTCCACGTTGGCAGTGGTCGACTATCTGAAGAATCCATTGAAATTGAGTCAACAACACGAACATCATGTCTGAGCCCAGCTTTACCTCTGCGAACACCGTCGCTCCAGCGGCAACCGGGAACCTGGTCTACCTTCACTACGTTGTGTTTGGTGTTGGCTATGGCGTTTCCACTCTCCTCGTTCTTTTGCGGCTTTACCACAGGAACCATAATAGAAATCTCAAGCTAAGCGACAGTAAGTGATCACGGGGCCGAAGGATGTATAGCAGAAAAGCATAACTGACGTACTTTACCCAGTGTTGGCGACCTTCTCCTGGGTAAGTAAGAGATAGGAGTTCACATTCATCATATCAAGGGCTGATTCCGTCACACCAGGTTTTTTCGTCCGTCATGCAAATTCTGATGATAGGCAAGTATACCCCCTTAGTGACAGGGCGAAGAAAAAGTGCTAACAAGGCCGACGTAGTCGCGATATCCATGGGTACCATGTGCTTCCCGCGAGCATCCATTCCAGACGATCGATACCGGATATACGTCGAGGTGCGTACCATGGCCTGTTCAGACGAGACAATCATGGTTGACCAGCAGTCACAGCTCAGTTACAATGCGGCGCCGGCGTTCATGTTGACCATTGGCTTTGCGAAGGTGTCCATGCTCTGCTTCTATCTAGAAACGTTCTCCCCCAATGCGTGGTTAAACAAGGCTGCAAGAATCACACAAGGTGTTGTGATTACGACCACAGTCGCCATCACTCTCCTACTATACCTCTCGCGCTTACCGAGTCTATCACTCGATGCCGTGGCCCTCTTCTTGGCAACGGCTGCCTCGAACATCATCATGGACGTTGTGTTGCTGATCCTCCCAATGCCCGCTCTGTTCAACCTCCAGATGGCACTCAATACCAAGCTTTCCATCGCGGGAATATTCGGTCTGGGCTTACTGTACGTCGTCATGCACCATAGCTTCGTATGAGAACTGACGTAGATCGCAGAACCACTGTCACCTCCATCCTCCGGCTGTATCTTCTCATCCAGATTCAGGGCAGCGAAGACCTAACGTGGGACGCCGCGCCGGCCAATATCACTTCGTACGTTTCGCGGAAGTACAACCTGCAGTACTCACTGACGGACGAAAGGTTTCTCGAAGTCAATCTCCTTCTAATCTGCACTTGTGTGCCCGCTGTGCGCCAATTCTTCAAGAACCTCAAGCGTGATTCGTACACTGGGAATCAACCCAACTTCACAAACCGAGCCTCGGGGACAAGGCAGTTACGCCTGGATAGTTCGAGTCAAGTTCGACTGCGCGAGCTGACGGCCGTTGTCGATACGGAATTGGGAATGATTGTCCCGAGAAGTCGCGGCGCAGACAGCGATTGGAGCGAGCCGAAAGACGGAAAGAACATCTTGAACGAATCTACGTATATTTGACGGGACTTTCGTCCATTTGATAGCATAAGACGGCACAATAATATCTTTTTTCTGAGCTCAAGCCATCGAACATAAGAGGCGGGTTCTGTCTCCCTGCTCAGTCACAAACGACCCTTGACCCAACTGCACGGCCAGATCACAGCTATGAACACTGGAAAATGTCTTGTTGTTCCTCTCCCCTTTGCCCTAGCAACATGAAAGCAGCCAGAAGGAGCCAGACTCCCTATCAGAACGGGTTGGCCGGCATGGGGCAGATTATACGGAAGCTGAGCCCCCTAGCCCTGCCAGCCGCTGCATATGTGTTACCATTCGGCTTGCCCGATTTTGCTAGTGTCTTCCCCGAATGGCCTGACAACGTCAACGATGCCCCGCTTCTCTGCACCATAACTGTGGTATTGCAACCAGGAAGCCAGGGTCCCCGCTACCCAGCATCAGCGTCTGCGGTGGCTGTCCCAGGCCTCGTATCGTCAACATGACCATCCCTCCTCCGTATTCAGGCGGTGAGCAATCATGGGTACGATGCCTACGACTGGATTTGGGCGAATTTAAGAAGTCGTGAGTATAAGAACCCGACTCTACCTCCGTCCCTTCTGACCTCTACTATCAATCACGATTCCCTTCCGCATTTCTTGAGCAACTATGAAAATCTTTTATCTCGCGGTCGCATTCATCCTAGCGGCTACCGCCATCGAATCAGCCGTCGTTGAAAGCTCCGAGTTCAAATGTGTATGTCGACAATCCAGACACCACGTTATCTCTTACTAACGCTAGACTGAAAGTGTCTCGCTCTCCTGAAAGACGATGTACTTTCTGGAAAGGTTTTGACTCCGTGCAATGAGGATTTCCACCATCGCTTGGAGTCGTACTACTCCGCCAATGCGGCTGAGCCACCTCGCTGCATGGTGTTGCCTCAGACCGCTGAAGACGTCGCCAGGACCATCCAGATCATATCTGCTCGAAACTGTTCTTTTGGGATGAGAAGCGGGGCTCACTCGGCGTTTCGCGATTCGAACGGACTCAAGGATGGCATCACAGTCGATTTGGGTGTGTATCGCCTCTTAATCTGGCATCAAAGCTCACATGAGATAGGCTACATGAACTCGACCGAATATGACCCGAGCACCGGCATCGCTTCCGTCCTTCCAGGCTCGGACTGGGGCAATGTATACTCCGCTCTGGATCCGTTCGGTGTCACGGCTGTTGGAGGACGAGCTTCTGTCGTCGGGGTTGGAGGTTTTACTACGGGCGGTGGGGTATGTGTCCTCTGCCCCTCTGCGTGCAAGACCGTCGCGGACCGAGCAAAGACCGGTTCTCCCCAACAGAAGAAGACTGACTCTCGACAGTACTCTTTCCACAGCAACAGGAGAGGATTCGCCTGCGACAATGTTGTCAACTTCGAGGTTGTTCTCGCCAATGGTTCCATTGTCGACGCCAACGCG